AGGGGCGTCCCGCGCGCACCCAGGTCGGGTGCCGGCCGGGGGGGGACAGGCCTGGGGCCTCCCCTCCGGTCCCGGCGCCGGAGTGGCGGCAGCTCCGGGCTCTTGGGTGGGCCGAGGGACCGGGAGCCACCTTGGCGGGGGCTTTCTTCAAAGTGACAGCTAGGTGGACCCCGAGCCTGCGCCGCCCACCCAGCAGCGCCCTTTGGCCGGTGTGGTCAGCTGTTAGCTCGCCAGCCCTTTCCCGGCGCCTTTGTTGTCTTTGTCATTAGTTACCCTTGCAGTCGAGGAATTAGACGTTGAGACTGCCCTTACTCTCGGGATTTTGGAAAGGGGGGAAAAGCAGTGTGAGGAGTAGCAGGGTGTGCTCAAGTGCATCAGGGGCGCCTTTGCGTACCGGATTAAAATGTGTAGCCTCGGGGACCCCGGCCGGGTCTTGCCCAGTGGGCTGCACCCGGAATGGCAGTCTTTTTGGTCTCTACGCTTTTGTCCCTTAAAATTGATGTGCACACCAAGCATCTGCAGATTGATAAATGCCACGTTAGTTCAGCTGAACCAGGAGTGGGGTGTAGTAGAAATAGTCGTTTGTAGGCTGGTCTATGTGTCTAAAGTCTTTCAAAGTTCAGACCATTAACGTTGCTTCTTTTCCGTCCCAGGTTTTTGCAGTTCGCTCAGGTGGAGCCACCGGGGTGGTAGTTAAAGGCCCAGATGATAGGAATCCCATCTCATTTCGGTAACTGTTGACGTTCACAGAATAATTGTCACATGTAAACAAAATGATGTGTTTCTGTTTCTCATTCAGAAGGTGGTTTTAAAGGTTTGTCCTTTGGCTGTAAGAGGCCTGAAGTGTATACTCACTTGCCAATCCGTGTGTGTAGGGAGAGGGAAGGGGACGCCTGCTGCGCGGTGTTGTGGCACAGATCAGTACTAAGTGTCAGTGAAATGTGTAGAGTGGTTCTCTCGATTTGGGAATCAAATGCTCAGATACAGGGAACCCACTTCCTGGCACTTGAAATTAGCGAGTCAGTTTACTGATGTGCCCATTTTTGGCATGTTGACTGAGGAGGGCCTTCATTTCCTCATCTGGCCCCGGTTTTTTCGGGCTGTGTGGTAGGTGAAGGAGATTTCTGGTTAGTGTTTCCTATATAATAATGTATTTTAAGAAAATCCCAGCTTCCACTAAAGGTGACTGGATATCCCAGTTTATGCAAGTTGAACCAGTATAATTATGAATAGCCCTTCCTTTCACTTTCAGAAGTATCTCAGTTTGGTTGATAAATTATCTGGTCTTTAACTCCTTGATTACAGAAGGGGAAAGTACAGTGTGGGCCCTCAGTTCAGTGGTGACTTAAGTTTTTTTGCAGGTGGCCTGTGCTAATAGAAAACAGTTTTTTTTTTTTTTAAAGATTTTATTTATTTTTTAGAGAGCGAGCGAGAGAGAAACAGCATGAGAGGGGAGAGGGTCAGAGGGAGAAGCAGGCTCCCCGCTGAGCCGGGAGCCCGATGCCGGACTCAATCCCAGGACCCTGGGATCATGACCTGAGCCGAAGGCAGACGCTTAACCATCTGAGCCACCCAGGCGCCCCGAAAACAGTTTTTGAAGTAGAAAACAAGTCACTCATTGGTTGGACAAACTCTGATTGTAGCCCCTGTGCTAGGCACCAGGCATGGGAAGGTTATGAATCAGCCGGGCACCCTTTTGCAGAACTCATAAATTTAGTGTGGGAGACAAGTGTGTGGACACATTCTGTTGATTGTGAAAAGTGCTGTAATAACACTCTCTTCAGAGTTTGGGCAGGCAAAAGAGCTGAGACATTTATCCTGGGGGAGGCCAGGAAACACCACTGCCCAGGATGGGGAAGGCCTGCGAGAGGAGGGAGCCTTTGAGCAAAACTTTAAAGCTTGAATGGGATGATTCCACATGGGGAATAGAGCAGGCCTTTCAGATGGAGAGAACACCGAGTGTAAAGGCGAGCAAGGATGGTGTTTGGGGGAATTTCGGGTCTGTGTAACTGACATCAGGTGTCCTTGCGGGGAAGGGGAGGTGGTGGTGGTCTGGCCACAGGCAGGAGTCAGCTTGAACCGTATGTATTCTACGATGGAATTAGGGCTTTATCTTCTTATTGAAAATTGGTAAGATGGGGCATGGCATGATCTTATCAGTGCTTGGAAAGATCATGCTGTTCACCACACTGAAGCTGCGTTAGTTGGGAGCATATCAACGTCAGGGATACCACTGAGCGGTGATTGCGATAGTCTGAGCCAGGCGTACTAAAGAGCAGCCCGCAGGCGGAGTAGACTGCTATCCCACAGACACTCAGGAGGTGCCTAGGAAGGTCTTGGGTAAGTTTTGGTGGTCATTTGGGCGTGGAAAATGAGAGTGAGCCCGTGATGATCCAGATTTGGGGGCTTAGTAGGGTTTGAGGAGGAAGATACTGGATTTACCCTCTTTTAAATTTTAATTTTATTGGTAAAAATTTTAGCAATTTTGTGTATTTTTAAGTTTTATTGTGGTAGAATTAACGGCATATATTTAACATATACAGTTGATGAGTTTTGACATGTGTTAACCGTCACCACAATCAAAAGTTTGCTGGTGCTGCCCTGTAATCCATCCCTTGACTTCCGTTTGTAACGTCTGTTGGAGGTCCTGTAGATTGGGAAGTAAACAGGAAAGCTTACACTCCTTCACACACTGCTGTGAGAGCGATGGGGAGGAAAGAGGGTAGTTTCTGGAGAAGGTTGCCGTGTGGGTATTACTTATGTTTAAGATGATTCTCAAGGGAAAATGCACGTGTTCTTAATTCGTCAGTCACTTGTTAACCACAAAACTAAATTTCATCAGCAACTCGTTGCCAGTTGGATTTTGTTGTTTGAAAAGAAGTCCTGATAGTTTCAGAAACTTAATTTTCAACTAAGATTTGCTGCTTCCTGAGTATATAACTTTTCTCACAAAATGCTAGATGCTAGTATTCGGTTATTAACTTTAACTCATAATATACTTTTTTTCCCTTAAAGAATGGAAGACAAAGGAGAAGTGAAATGCATTAAATTTTCCTTAGAAAATAAGATATTGGCTGTCCAGAGGACCTCAAAGACTGTGGTAAGATATCTTTATTTATTTCAAGTTTTATTTATTTAAGCAATCTCTCTACACACAACGTGGGGCTCGAAGCCATGACCCCCCCATCAAGAGTCACATGCTCTTTCAGATGAACCAGCAAGGTGCCCCAGGACCTATCTTTAAAGATAGCATAAAGAAAAGGACATTAGAAGTATATTTAGAAGAGAATGAATTGCAAAAAACAGCGTTAAAGGAAGCCTTTATTATTTTAATGCCATGAAAGTTAAGGTTCTGTTGTATTGTATTTGAAGCCTTTGGAATTCTTGGAGAAAGACATTTCAAGGGATAAATACTCGTGACCTTAGTTTGTCATTTTTGACTTAAAAAAAATTTTAAGTGTTTGGAGCCTGAGGCATTTTTTGTATTGATTGATAGCAGCATAGATTATGTGAGGTGCATTCTTGGCAACTTGGTGAATTAGCTTTACCTGGAATAGCTCCATTTACTCACTTCTTGCATCTTTGAATGCTTGACCTCCTAGGAACAGACGTTCAAAGTTGGAGCACCGTTTGGCCTTTTTGGCTTTATAAGTATTCACCATCGTCATTGGTAGAGTGAAAGCTGTTGGGAAGAGGCAGAATCTGATTTCCTTCTGTCGGTATTCGTTACTAAAAGTTTTGGAAAGCCCCTTACAAGGTGCAGCAACACTTTCTCTGAAATCAGTTGGTTTTCAGTATCAGTTTCTAAACTCTAACTGAATATTTGGATTAACTTTTTTTTAATTGAGTTGTAAGGAGATGGATTGTCCACATTGGTCCTTTTAGTTTTCTTGTCTTGTCAGTTTTTTTCTGATCTTTTTTTTTTTTTTTTTAAGATTTTATTTATTTACATGACAGAGCGAGAGAGAACAAGAGAGAACAAGCAGGGAGAGCAGCAGAGGGAGAGGGAGAGCAGGTGCCCCCCCCCCCCCGGGAGGGAACCCAATGCGGAGCTGATTCCAGGACTCCCAGGATCACGACCGGAGCAGAAGGAAGACACTTAACTGACTGAGCTCCCCAAGCGCCCCTTTTCTGATCACTTTTTAAATTTGTCTTTTGAAAAAATAAAAATAAATTTGTCTTTTGTCTTGTCTACCAATACAGGTTGGCAGTATGCTGCTTGATCTAAATTTTCTCCTTTTGTTTTCTTTCTTTTTTTCCTTTTCAGGATTTTTCTAATTTTATCCCAGATAGTTCTCAGCTGGAATACACTCAAGAGTGCAAGGTAGGGCCCGGGTCCTTTCCCAGCTGCTGGCCATTTCCCGGTGTGGCAGGCGGATTGCCTGCACACACTTGCATCCAGGCTGAGCCTTGCGCTGAGGCCTACTGCGT